AGGATCCATTTAAGAGTACACTTCTTATAGGCACTGAAGGGGAGAACCCAAACCACCCCCTCACAGGGACCCTCAGGGATAAACCAGTACTTCAAAGGGAAGGAGCAACCTCCTTCTCTGTCCCGTGTATATCTGTGTCCCCAGTTTGATTCTGAGCACATTGATGGATTCACTTCTGCACCTCCCACCCCACCCCTCTCTGAATTCAGCCCAGCTCCCATCTGAGCAGAGTGGGTGCTCAGCCACTCCCTATTGGGTCCAAAAGGGAGGTGTGGGTAGTAATACCTAGCATGTGTGGCACTTACTATATGCCAAGCACTTTACAATAACCCTAAAAACGAGGTGATATTATTATCAAGGGTGCAGTGGTGGTTCAGTGGTAAAATTATTGTCTTCCATGCCGAAGAACCGAGTTTGATACCCAGCCAGTGGACCTCATACACAGCCACCACCCATCTGTCAGTGGAGGCTTGCGTGTTGCTATGATGCTGAACAGGTTTCAGTGGAGCTTCCAGACTAAGGCAGACTAGGAAGAAAGGTCTGGAGATGTATTTCCAAAAATCAGCCAGTGAAAACTCTCTGGATCACAATGATCTGATCCCATTGTGTGTGGGGCCACCACGAGTCAGGCTAACTTATTGGCAACTAACACAAACAACATTATGAAGCCCATTTTTTGATGGGGGAACTAACACACAGAGAGGTTAAGAGCCAGGATTTGAACTGGGTGGTCTGATTCTATTAGCCATGTGCTTAAGCACATCACTACACCATCTTTGCATATTATGGGTTGGTAGAGGTGATGGAGCTGATGGAGTCCCCTGAGGACAGAACCAAGGTAGTGTCACTTTTTGGATGGCCAGAGTGCCTCAGACTGGTCTGGGCCCTGAAAGAGTGGCTGGCCAGTGCCCACGGAGCATATCAGGTGCTGAAGAAAGTGGGTGGTTCACTCTCTGAAATGGAAAATGGGAGAGGGCACCATTTTGGATCCATGAATTAGCCCAAAGCTCTAACTTACAAGACCTGGGCTCAAAAGCCAGCTCCTGGCTGACCTTTCAAATGATGGCAATTAAGACAATTGGCAAATGGACTTAAGGGACAAGTTCTGGAATGAACTTCCCTTAGGAATCTCATCAAGAAATGAGGTAACCATTTAATTTGGGGACAAAGAGTCATTTTCAGCAGGCATTAACTGAACGGGTCCCAAGGTGCATAAGGCTCTTGAGGACTAGGGAGGCGTGTGTGCCATGGCTCCTGTCTGGGAGAAGCTTCTGGTTAAATGGGAGACACAGGTCTGTCTTCTACCCAGGTGCCAACTCAGGGTTCCTCCTTGTTGGCCATGGGTGGTCAGTCCCACCTGGTGGAAGGTACTTAGCTTCTTCCATTACTGTACCAGGCCAGCCAACTTGGGGCGGGGCACTGGTCGGATGGCTTCTTGCTGGAGGAGCCAACTCCCTTTTTGGCTGTAGGATCCGGCCCTGGCTCTGTGCTTCTCTGACAAGTCATGAGTGCCGCAATGAAGGGCCACCAGAGGCCAGCTGAGCAACAAGGCACTCGTTCCTTTGGGGAGCTGCCACCTTCAGCACTCGCTCCTGCTGAGCTGAGAGCAAGTTCCAAGTCATTAAGTAGATTGTGTTCTCAAGCCCCAGTGGCCATCAGCTTGGGCGTCCTTGCCAAGAGCTCCTGGCTGTTCCCATCTCCTGCCTGGCAGCCGATCGAGCACTGGGGGGTGCCCCTGCCCAGGTATCCACTCTGCCTGGCAGGGGCTGACAAGGGAGGGGACTCAGCCTCCTGGGGACTTTCGGTATATGGGGAGCTAATTAGTCTCTTTTGAAACCTGCATTTGCCACCAATCACATATTTGGTGGTGCTGGACTGTCATGGCAACTAAAAGCAGATCTGAAAATAAATGTCACTTTTCTTTTTTTTTATTTCTACTGTAATGACATGGGAAACTTGTTTCTCCAGTTTAACTTGCCGAGATGACTCCACGAGACTAAAAGAGTAAAGGTGTCTGTGCAGCGTGTGTGGGTGGGTAGGGGCTGTGGGGTGTGAACGTGTGGGTTGTGTGTGTGCATTAGGGCAGCGTGTGGGTGCTCATGCTGATGGTGACAAGGCCGTGCAGGTGTGTGCAGCAGAGTGGGTGTAGGGGAGTATTCGTTGTGTGCTCATGTCTGAGGATGGAGCTGAAGATGGGTCTGACTGAGGACACACGTCAGCTGCGAGTGTTTGGAGACTGGTCCCTGAGTATGTCTTAGGACAGGTGCTGGTGCACAGGTGTGTGTGTGTGAGGTCAGGTGCTGGTGCACAGGTGTGTGTGTGTCCTGGGACAGGCGCTGGTGCAGGTGTGTGTGTGTCCCGGGCCAGGCGCTGGTGCACAGGTGTGTGTGTGTCCCGGGCCAGGCGCTGGTGCACAGGTGTGTGTGTGTCCCGGGCCAGGCGCTGGTGCACAGGTGTGTGTGTGTCCCGGGCCAGGCGCTGGTGCACAGGTGTGTGTGTGTCCCGGGCCAGGCGCTGGTGCACAGGTGTGTGTGTGTCCCGGGCCAGGCGCTGGTGCACAGGTGTGTGTGTGTGAGGGCAGGTGCTAGTGCACAGGTGTGTGTGTGTCCCAGGACAGGTGCTGGTGCACAGGTGTATGTGTCTGAGGTCAGGTGCTGTTGCATGCGTGTGTGTCCAAGGATGGTTACTGTTGTGCAGATATGTGTGTGTGTGTGTGTGTGTGTGTGTGTGTCTGAAGGCAAGTACTGGTGCACAGATGTGTGTGTGTGTGTGTCCGAAGACAGGCACTGGTGCACAGGTGCGTGTGTCTGTCTGTCTGTCTGAAGACAGGTGCTGGTGCATGAGTGTGCGTGTCCAAGGACAGGCGCTGGAACTCAGATGCGTGGGTGTGTGTCTGAGGTCAGGTTTTGTTGCATGTGTGTGTCCAAGGACAGGTGATGGTGCACACGTGTATGTGTGTGTGTGTGTGTGTGTGTGTGTGTGTCTGAAGACAGGTGCTTGTGCATGGGTATGTGTGTGTCCCAGGACAGATGTTGTTGCACAGGTGTGTGTGTCTGAGGACAGTTGCTGGTGCACAGGTGTGTTATGTATGTACTATTTGGTGAGACAAGGTTTCCAGCTTTAGGAAGCTTTCTGTCTATAGGGTGTCCCTGTGGTCCCTATCCTTGGGAAATCCCAGTTCAATCACAAGAAATAGAGCCCGATTTTGGGGAGAAGCCCACCTCCATTCTACCACCCTCTGAGAAACAGAGATTTATAGATCAGGAGCACCCAGAAACCATCTGGACAGACCTGACCTTGGTTATGGGGCTATCTGCTCAAGGTGAAAGTTACAGAGCACCCAGTTGCTTATGTGTCTGGCACGCATTATACATGGGGCTTTGGGCTGGGCCCTGTCCTGCTTGACCTGGGATGGGGCTGACACTCAGTCAACTCTGACCACAATAATAACATCGCACATCCCTCTCAAGCTTCCTGCTTTCTCAAGTCATTTTAGGAGCCTCCTCTTCACATGGGCTGGCTTTTACAGGAGCTTACTCCCCGGGCATGGAAATGCACCTCTCATCCGAATCAAGAGGCTGACGGAGTACAGAGAGGCTTTCCCCAGGATGCAGTGCTCAGGGTCCACGCAGCAGAAACGAGGACTCACCTGCAGTTGGTGGTGAAGTCACAGCCTACTGCAGTTGGCAGGCGCTCCTGGGCAAGAACTCAGCCCCCGGCGACCAGGACTTCGTTCATGTCTTCGCTGAGATTCTTCCTGCTAAACTTTCTGTATTGCACAGCTCTTGCAACTCTTCATTTTATGATTTTTTTTTAACTTCTATCTGGAACCAAAGAGACCTGATATTGATTAAGTGTTAGTTCAATAAATATTTATCAAGCACCAATTATTTTAAGGCTGTCCCTGCCCTGGGCTTAGACGATACAATGTGCTTCTGAATTGCTCCCTGCCTAGAGTTTTTCTCAGTCCAGTGGTGGGTGGGAGGACAGAGATGGGGACAAGCAATAAGAGAAGTAAGAACAGATGAGGGCTGCCTAACCCAGCCAGGGAGAGGACCCGGGCGAGGTCACGGGTGTTTCCTCAGAGGAGGTGACACCTGAACTGAGTCAGAAACCAGAAAACCAGTTGCCATCGAGTTGATTCTGACTCACGATGATCCCAGAACTGTGCTCTACAGTGTTTTCAGTGGCTGATTTTTCAGTAGATCGCCAGACCTTTCTTCTGAGGTGCTTCTGGGGGGATACATAAACTTTCCCTTAGCAACCAAGTGCTTAACCATTTGCACCACCTAGGAACATCTAAGCTGAGTTGTAAAGGACAAGTTAATCAGAGAGAGAGGAAGTTAGATGCCCACTTGGTGGCATCGCGTGGACCCAGAGGCTCCGTGCACACGGGAAGAGTCTGGACCAGAGCTGGTAAAGGGAGGCGATTCTTGGATGCTCCTTGCTTTGCTTAGGAAGTTAGGAAGCATTGCCCTGGACTGTGAACATCACACACTTAAGAGGGCTGGCAAGACTTCTCTCCATCACACGGCTATTTCTAACTCTATTCCCCACTTTATTTCTGTGGCTGTCTTGATGTCAATGGCAAGGAAACAAATCATGCTGGTAAGATGCTGGGCTTTCTTGCAACCTGCAATCAAGTTGGTGGCTATAGCTCTCTCTACATTACTTATACTACAGCAAAACCCCGGGGAGGGTGAGTGGAAAAGTACCTGTAAATATTAAGGTTGGTTGCAAAGGCACATTAATGGTTTGTTGTATAATACCCTCTGGTGACATTGAGGCCTTATTAATAACTAAACATCTGTCACAACTGTAATTATATTTCTTGGGCCGGGACTGTTTGTGCCATTGTCCTGTTTAAAGACGGAAGGGAGGGTGTGAATTATTTAGGCAGCTGACTTTGAGGAAATAACCCTCCAGCACTGTGTGCAGACAGTAAGTCTCTCCCACCTCCTTGCAGAATCTCAGTGTCTTCGCTGACGTTCCCTTGATGTGCTTGCAAATCTCTCTGAGAACATCGTCCTGGATCGCCTCGTCCTGGATCGCCGATGCGGCTGCCCGAGCAACCTGGAGAGGGGAAGCCTGAGAATGAGGAAAAGGGGGACCGAGGAGCCCCCCAAGGGGGTGAGGAGACACCACGGAGCCAGGCCCCTGCCTTCCCCACTTGGCAAGTCTTCTCCCCTCAAACCCCTTGGAGAAACAAGCTTTCTTGAGTGTTTGGCAGCCCTCAGGTAGGGGGTGGGGAGGGGTCTGGAAGCCTTTGCTGTTGAGTGTTAGGGGGAGAGGAGAACGGGGGAAGGGTGCTGAGAGGATGAGCTGGCCCAGCCGGGTACACATGCTTGATGCTCTTTCTTGAGCCTAACATGTTCCCATGGGTTATAGTTGAGATGTGTGGACAGGACAAGGTGGGGGCCTGGAAACAGACTCTGTCAGGGACTGACTAGTGGGGGAGTACGAGTCCTTACTATGTAGCCTAGGCTGTGGGAACTTTACACAGAAAATCTCAATGGATCCTCCCAACAACCCAACTAGGGTATTACTAACCCCGTTTTTAAAATTAATGTAAATATGTATGTAACGCACCATTTGCCATTTCAACATTTTTCACATGTACAATTCAATGGCACCAAGTATATCAATCATGTTGTGCAACCATCACCAACACCCGTTGCCAAATTTTTGGTCTATCACCATAAACAGAAACACACTGCTTCCTCAACGATGACTCCCCCTTTCTCCCTCCATCCATCCCTGGTCACCACTAATAAACTTTGATCTCAATACATTTGCCTCTTCTAGGTATTTCGTGTAAGCAAGATCATACAATGTTTGTCCTCTTGTGACCCCATTTTTGAAGGAGAAAAGTCAGACAGACATTAAGAAACTTGTCCCAGATCACAATCAACGGCCAATCTGGAATTCCTACCCAAGTCTTTCTGAATCCAAAACATGTTCCTAACCACTGGGATGCCCTGCCTCTCCTCATTTATAGGTAAGCAGGTCATTTCAAGGTGACAGGACTTATACCTTACCAAGCCACTAGCTTCCCTGGGTCCTTGATCTTGCTCTTTTTTTCTTCCTTGGAGACATTCATGGCTGTATAAAATCAAGAGGAATTTTCACTTTGGTTAGTTTTGTATGGAAGGATATGTTGATCTGTGTGATGCTAGCATCAAGGGATTGTTCTGTGGTAAGTCCCATAAATGAGTATGTTCTGAAATTGTTGCCCTAAGGCTGTTTCAAATGGGGTCTCCAGCCCCCTCTGCCACCAGCTCTCAGCAGTGGCCAGAAGTGTTTCTGGTGAGGGAGTGAGTCTAGGGTTAGGCTGACCAGGGGGAAAAGGAAATGGAAATCTTCATGGTGACTACAGCTCTGATTTTCAGCAATTTCTCTCAGGAGCTGGGAGGCCTAGGCATGGGATGCTACAACACTCTTTCCAGAGCGTTCTCCAACACAACTCACTGTCTGGGAAATCCAAGGTGGACGCTAACGAGATCCTTGGCCAATGGGCATGCTGACCTGCAACGTGGGCCCTTCTCATTGACTCTGAGGAAAGGTCTAGAAAAGGTTGTAGAGCCAGAGTAGACTTACACTGAAGGGCAGGCTCACAGCACAGTACTGCTCAGGGAGGTTGACCAGGTGTGAAATGGAATAGTAGTCATAGTAATAGTGTCAAAACCTGTCTAACTTCAGGAGGGATAATGACCAGGATCAGCCCAAAACTGATTCCCATGAGGTGAAAGTCAGACGTATCTCCACCCTCCAACCGTTTTCACCACTTCTGTTGCCAGCCGTCCCTCCCATGGTACTCTCTACTTCTCTTCTGGGTTTGATAATCCATTGCAATGACCACACAGAACTCACAGACCGTATTTAAAGTGGATTTATTAAGGAATTAGCAGGGTACAACTTGGGATCAGCATCTATAGGCTACAACTCAGGATCAGGATCAGGAAGCATGCAGGCAAAGTCCCCCTTCTTCAGTGCAGAACAGCTCTCTCAGTTCCTCCTTGACTGTGTAGGCCTCCTCTCAGCCCCCCTCAGGACAGGTTCCTCTTAGCCCTGCTGTCTGTTGCTGATGGCTCTGCCACTGGGCCCCTTCCAGGCCTGTCACTGTCTTCAGTGTTACAGCCAGCCCTTAACCAGTGTTACAGCTCTTTTAGGAGGTTCCTTGCCTCCTCTCTCTCTTTCTTTTCTCTTCTTTCTTCCTTCTGCTTCTTCCTGCAGTTCCTCTTCCTGCTTCTTTCCGTCTGAAAAACCTCTGTGAGGTTGGCTACTTATATATACAACTCGTCAATTTCAAGGCGTGGCCCTCCCACCAAGGCCGTGAACTGACCAATCCCCTCTCAGTAGCCCACAGATGCTTCATTTGCATAGTCTATTGTCCAATCCCTGCAAAGTGCATAGCAATCACAGGGCAGGCTGCAGCCTAGGACCAGACAAAAAGAATCAAAACCAAATTGTTTACAACTTAGCCAGGAAATGTCCATCAACCTGGACAAATGTAACAAACTCTCTGGGGTAGAAAACTAGGGCAAAGGTAACTCCTCAGGCCTGGGGGAAAATCTCTCAAGCTGTTTCTCCAGAGAACCAAGGCAAAAGGCCACATAAAGGAAAATCATTTTACCACACCAGGGGTTTGAGAAGGTCCTGAGGCTGAGTCTCTCCATCCCAACTCATACCTTCTAGAAGAGGCCCAGGAGGAGGCACAGTACAATCCAAGGATGACATTCTTGGTTGGCCTTTTTGCGGCATCAGATAAGTGATAGAATCCTGGGTACTTCTAGAGGAGGACATATTGAGAGAAGGAGATAAGGACTGGGGCAGAGAAACATTTCTGTACGTCCAATGGGAGCCATGGTTGATGCCACAGAGGAAAAGGGCAGTTGTCAGCCTTAGTGTTTATGAAGATATCATATAGTTAACAGACAAGTCTTTTTGTTCAACACACTCCCACATTAAAAAAATGTTTCTCCTTTTTTTTTTTTTTTTAAATGTTCCTTGTGTCTTTGGGTATTAGAACTTTTTGGCCAGAGTTGTTACCTGAGATGAACTAGTTTCATTTCACCTCTCTCTGGGGGGCAGCAGTAGCCCAATGGAATGAGTCACCTGCTCTCAAAGTATCAGCTTCTCCTTTGAGGGTAAGCATTCACTCTTTTTGGACCCCAGGCCTGACCTGAGGGTCTCTAGGTCTTCTGGCTTGCTCCTACCATGCATTCATTCGCACACACAGCACAACACACTTTTGATTATTCCTTCCTTGGGGGCACACTCACACTTTTGTTGAAGATTTCTCTGTGCAGTAGGCAAGGAGAGATCTATAAAAAGACGAAGGATGAGATGGGAGCATGGGAGGGGTGCAGCTGCTGAGGTCTCAGCACCTGGGGGTTGGACATGGAGGGAGGGGGTACATAGCCCATTTAGAATGTGTTCTCATATCAGTTTCTAGCAGTAATCTCTCAGAGTACATTGTCTCTTGTCCTTCAGTTCTGTTGGGGACGTCTTTTGGATAAAGCACAGCCTGGGTATTAGAACTAGCCTGTAGAATACCAGGGCCCTCCTCAGACCCCAAAGAACTCCAAAGAGCCACCACCCCTTTCCATCTCTGGTGGCCCAGGTGGTTACAAGTGGTAGGGCAGGGTAGGCAAAATTGTAGAAGAGGAGTCTTGATGTGTTCCATCTTCCCGCCCCAGATCACTTTCACACCTCCTGGTACCATTTTGGTCGCCAGTAACAGAAATCCACTGGAGCACTCCTCAGTAAAAAGAGAAACATGTTAGGCAGACTTCCAAGGATTCCCATGGAATCCAAGACCAGTAATGCAGCTGGGCTTTAGGAATGACTGGAACAGGGGCCTAGAGAAGTAGAAAACTCAAGAAAGCTGCATCTCTCTGCCTGTCTATGTCTCTCTGTTGTCTCTGTCCATGTGAAAATTGTTACTGTCGATAGCTGTCATAGTGGCAGCCAGCCTGAATCAGTGTGGTCTCAACTCCAAATTTCCTGGTAGAATGGGCTTATTGCAGCTCACCCCGATTGAGTCACCTGTGTGCAGGAGAGGAGGATCTTGTTGTATGAACATGGCTACTTTCCCTATCAACATGTGAATGGAAGAGGGGAGGGGCAATGGCCAGAGAAGCAGGGCACCCCTTCAGCCCAATTCCTTGAGACATTGGATTGGCATCTCATTCTTGAAGTTAGTTGGCTATCCATTAAGTGCTGGTAAGGTGTTTGCTATTGATGCTTGAAGTTGGAGCCCCTTAAAGGTGGTGGCCCGCACAAGACCCAAAGGAGTAAAATGTGGAACAAAAGCATCAGGGTGGATAGAGCTGGTTAAGGGCATGACAGCAGAATGTGGAGAGAGAGATAACCTTATGCAGAGGGCAGGGACTGGAAGAGGCAGAATACCCCACCCCACCTCCAGCCTTCCTCCCAGTTCGTTCTCCTTCCATTTGTCAACCTAGAGGCTTGCCGAGGAATTCTCCAGGCTGTCCACTTCTGTTTTTGCTAAGGTGTGGCCAGGATTTCCCTCGATGTATTTGGAGGAGAGGACATGGATATCGGACCTCCTTCTCTTCTACTCTTTCCACTCAAGAGTCTCACAAGGCAGCAAAGCGATGAATAATTGACTTGTCTCTAAACTGCCAAGGTGTTGACTCCTTAGATTGAAGACCTGAAAGGATGATCTTCCCCTGTTGTCTAGATGATGGGATCTGGGAGTCTTTGGACCAGATCTGGAGCTAACTCATGATGGCCAGTAGGGCCAGGAAGCCGGCTAGAAGACAGTCCCCAGGGAATAGAGAGATACTCAGGTAGCTTCAACAAATTCTACGTCTAAGTAAACAAGCCCACTATGCTTGTGTTGTTTCAATCCAATCTGTAGGAAGCTTTGCTAATACAGAGAGAAATGCACCATTGATATTTGAGATAAAAATAGTCCATGTCCCAAACAAAGTGTTTTTAAGTATTTTGAAATGAAAACCTGTAGACAAAGCAAGGACTTAGAATGCATGACTCATTAAATTGCTGACTCTAAAAGCACTGGAAATTCAAAGGTTTTTTTCCTCTCCCTATTTCTTCCTCCCACCCCTGCTCTGAATAGCTTATAAAAAGAGTTTGTATACAACCAGGACCCATAAATCCACCCCACCCCCTCCAGTTTAAGGTCCTGGAT